GGTTTCAAGGCAATCGCAAAAATTTGCCAGGCTGGATAGGGGGAGCCAAAGCATTTGACTATAATTTCATTACATCTTGTGGAATTTTTTAATTTTTTCTTGTTATTAACGACACGCAATTCTCATGTCGTTTATAACAAAAAAAAAAAAATGAAAACTTACACCGGTGCTTTCAATATTACATAATCACGCATTCCACTTGTTATTATGATGCCTCGCATTTTTTTATGACAATGAAATTATAGCCAAATGCTCTCAAATAAATAATATTTACTTGAAATATCATTATATATTAATAAAATATTTGCGTTTTAACAGACCGAAATTTTCGAGTATAAGTATGGGGTCTATTCAAGGTAAATTCAGTCTGTAACATTAACGCAACAAGATTTTTTTTTAAATTCAGCAAAATGTTCCTTCATTATGCTTTGCTCTTCACTATGGTTGCGCTAGCAGTTTCGTAAGTAACTTTTTAAAGAATTTAAAACGAAAACAAATTGGTACTATGTTCACGTCTATTTTATAGAATAACTGCAGGTGGCCTTGTTCAAAGTAAAAGCAGAGGCGTAACCAGGTTCGTATGATAATTTTATTTCTATGAATAAAGGTTGGCTTTTGAAAAACTTGCTAGTTTTTCTTCTGTCCGTGTAAATTTTTATGATAATTAATTGATGCTATCTTCTCCATGTTATAAACTATTAATGTGCCAAGCCAAACGGAACGTTTATTTGAAATTGGCCGAAAAGACTTGAAAAAACTTAAAAATCTTTATTCACCGGATGGCAAGAAGAGTTATGTCACCTATGTGACGATCAGTAATTACATTCGATGGTTTGAACAAAATCCAAAACTGACAAATGTCAAGTTTTACTCCTTGAATGGCAATTTCTCCGATGGGACTTTTGTTGTGACGGTGAATATTATTTACTTTGTTTTGAAAAAAAAAAAAAAATATTAAAATAAACCTTCCAGGATGGTTATGCTGTAACTGCGGATACATTGAATGAGTCTTATGATAGACTGTATCGGTTACTATTGCTATTTGACTTTTCCAAAAGCTATGTTTTCATTGGTGTTCGAAATGAACTTAAACCCACTGTCAATCGGGCTCTTGATGAGTTAAATGTGAAAATTACTGAAGATTCCCCAGATTTGCTCTACTATTTGGCAAAAGAAGAAGCTTTGAAATTCGACGTTAAGTATGTGTATCTGAACAAAAATGTATCATATAAAAGCTAACTTTCTAAGCTTTCCCTAACAGGGTTCCAGAAGGAATAGAACTGCGACCAATAAACGAACCTCATGATATAAAAAAAGTAATCTCCGTGTACCCGCATCCAAGACAGAGTTTTCCTGACTATCTTCAACAGTTGGCTAAATACAATCCTAACGTTGGAGCATTCACAACGGATGGCGCCTTGGTTGCTTGGATATTTCGGTAATCCATTCATTTAATTCATTTCACTTTTTAAACAACTGGATGCGAATAAAACTGGATTCAGTTTTTGAGATGTCAATTTTTGGGCTAAAAGCGGACTTCTGTATTCCCAGTTTCATTATCAAGAACGCACGTCTATTTAAGTTTTTATTTTTTTAGTTATCCTTCAGGCTTACTCGGCATTCTGCAAGCAGACCAAAAGTATAAAGGTAAAGGATATGCTGCATTAGTAACTAAATGCCTATCGAAAAAGGTGGCTGAAATGGGTCATGATGTTTACAGTGCTATCATAGAAGATAATAAACCGTCCCGATCACTTTTTACTAAACTTGGTTTTAAACCAATTGCCCGAATACATTGGATAGATACGGAAAAACATATAGTCTCCAGCTAATAATTTATTTCATCCAAATTATAGATTCATTGTTAAAAAGCTACTAAATCAGTTTCAATAAAAATTTCAATTTATAAAACTTTTTAACAATTTTGTGTTTTTTTCTAGTAAATTTTGTTGCAATTTCAGTTTCAATTCATTTGAACAACATCTGTTGATAACGATGTTATGATGAAAGTTCTCGTAACTATCGTCTACTGAGAGAAGAAACTGAAAAATGACAGAAATATTACTTTGTGAGACATTTTTACAACTGATGCTTGGAATCAAACGGATTCTTTACAAATCCATATTTTTACTTTAATGAGAGTAATTATGTCATTTGTCGGGTTTTTTCTTTGTGGGTATTTGATTATTGAAGAAAAAAAAAACGTTTTAACGTTCATATTGACTGAAAGTGTTCTCATTTCGGTTTTTAAATGAATTCAACGTGTATCTACGGTTTCGATAAACAATTTCACGGTGTGACAATGCATGAATCGTCTAAGTGTAATAGGTGTTGAACTATTAAAGTGCTTGCACTCGTAATTTGATTTGGAATAGGTCCTTTGCGTGTTTCACCCACATAAGTTGTGCAACATTAATCGTGCAACCGCAAAATCCCTGGCATTTGATCCTTTCACACTAAAACACGCACACACACATACACTCTACACTTATTAGCACTCAAGAATTGTTTGTATGGCCACAATTCAAAATCAGTCTCAAGTGAAAAGTAAATCACTTCAAACCGTTTTATGTCCTTGACTTTTGGAATTTACAAAAGCAATGTACCGTTTTAAAAGTCACGTAAATTTAGATTGATTTCCGGTAATAGATTAATTGAGTGATATTTAGAAAATGCAGTATTCAAAGCGCAACCTGATAAATCAACCAATCCGCACAATATTGGAATATGTGAAGAGAAGCGAATAGAGCCTTGAAGAAGACGCAATGATAGTGAGGGTATGTGTGTTTGTGAACGATTTGCCGTCAACGTGTCATATGTTTTAACTGTCGCCCGTAGATTACATACTTGTTCAAGTAGTACATCCACCGAAATGTTGAACAACCGGTAATTGGAGCCATCACAGGTATTCCGATAGAGTCCGAGAAAAATCTACCGCATTTGGTTTTGATGTATGAACTCAATTGTTCATCCTTATCGCCATTAATACCATGTAGATCAATCTTCTGTCTATTCGAACGGTATTCAATGAGCAGAAGTTATATGTACATTGTACACACAATGTTGTCAAAGTTTGCTGAAAGTGAAATGAAAAATTGATTTTGTGCTAAAGTGTGACTGATTCACTCCTTTTGTAGAGGTAAAAGATATGGAAAAACTGAGGTTTATGGAAATTAAAACGAACGTTCATATGATTTTATGAACGCTATTATAAATTTTACTATCCATATTATTTTCAAACAATTACATTTTCAATGCGTTTGTTACCATTTCATCACTTCGGTTTCATTTTTACAATCATGAGAATTTCCTTCTGAAGCAATAGCACATTGGCACTCACGAATGTTACAACAGGAAATAAAATGTAATGTTTTCTGTTGAAATAAGCTTTAGTTTGATTGGAAGTTCAGAAGTGATCATAAATGATGCACTTATGGCATGCTTGAGATTATTATTGAAATATTGGAGTGAAAATAACATTGGTAAGTTATGTTTTGCTAATAATTGTGAAGTCATTGCTTCAATCACAACAAATCATAGTAATAATTTAAGTTTTATTGACAGCAAATTAATGTCGAACATGTCAAAAACAGATGACACATATTGAAATAATATTATGCGAACAAATTTGCATAATTTATATAGATTAGGTGAAATCCAATAAACAACATAAATTGAATTACTTAAATGCGAAACACAATGCAAAAGACTAATCATTTATTCAGCAATACGAAACGAAAAAAACAACAATTCCATACTTTTTGTGCACTAAAAATGATGATAAATGTACATCAAGTGCGCTCGTCTCCAAGGAGGCATTTTCAAGACACCCGTCAACTTATTCTGTTGCTTCTGTCAATTTCACCATATGCACATCATGTCAGCCGTATGCACATCACTGGTTGCAATGTGTTCAATTCAATCTGCCAATATTACCAGTAAACACTTGAATATGGCTTGAATTTTAGTTAGGGCTTAAAAAGCTTGGTGTACTGTTTAAATTTTTTCATGTAATTAGATTGTATCTAAGCCACGTTGAGCCTTGTATTTAATACTGCAGTAGCTCTGCCTGTCTATCGGAGATTTGCAGCTTCATGTATCAATTAATGCCTTTTAATAGTTTTCGTGGAAAGTGTTGTATTTCCATTTATTGCGACTTGAAGGTGTCATTTAAGTGACAAAAATTTTCTTCAACACTGTTGATTTATTCAACTTGAATCAGCGCAACTATTACGAAAGAATAATCACTTTTTTCGAAGTAAAAATTGTTTAACGACCCTCAACTCAGACTATATTTTACACACTTCATCCATTGAAACTCGTAGATATAATCGAAAGACAAATTTCATTCAAATCCCGTACAAACAATTAAAGTTTTGCACAGATAAATGACAAGAAATTTTACCATGTGCGCCAAGCCAAACAACCAACAAAAACTGTTGTTCGTAACGCCACAATGCAAAAGCCAATGACACAAAGAAATACGAAACGCAAGTTCTTTAATATGTAACATTAATTATAATTATTTGGGGAGAATGTTTAATCGAAGTTGACAACAAGATGAAGAACTAGCGCCGTCGATGAGAGAAAACCACCAATTTTCTTAAAATACAATTTTTCATCGCGGAAGTAAACCGTTTTAAATACATTTAGTCGAATACCGATTTTCCACAATAAGTTTTCCTATAAACTCCACTCAAGTCGTTACGAACCTTTCGAAAATTATTATACATTTTGCCGGCCGAAAAGTGAGAGAGCAACGTCGAAATTATTAGTAAAGTTACATGAATGAAACAAACAACAAAAAAACCGAACGAAGTCGTATCCGTGGTTTCATGCCATGGGGCGAATCACGCTAGTAAATACTAGAAAAACTAGTAAATCTAGTGCGAATAATGACGTCACAAACGAAGCCAACTTCACACCAAAGGCCATATAATTTATATGAAAAACTACTGAGAGCCAACTTCACGCACTAGAATTTTCTAGTTTTCTAGTGAAATCTTATTAAAAACTAGATACACTAGAATTTCGTGATTGACCCCATGTTTCATGCCCTTCACATGTAAAAATTTTATACAAACATAATCATTTTGGGGTAGACGACTGTAGACGATCATGAAAACACAATGAAATCCAACAAATTGTGGGACTAACACAATGGATTACAAACTGGAAAACACACAATAAAATAGCACGGCTAATTTGCGTGAACTTTTCGGAAAATGGAATTTATTGCAAAAGCTAGATTTACAGCGAGTTGGCAGCTTAAAGCGATTTTATTTGTGTATAATCATTGAGTTTCGCACATATCTGGGTCTCTTGGTGCCGCCACTATTTTTGAACAAATTGTGCCGAGGAATAGAGGAGGATAACGAATTAAACAATTTAAAAAAGTTTTAAAATTGCTCGAAACCACACGATGACTGTTTTTTTAACCCAGTTTTTTACCAAATGGATGTGTATGTTAAATAAAACGTCGACTCACAAATGCGTATGTTGCAAATCCCAAAAGGGTGTTGGATTTCATAGTTTTGCCATTTTATTTTCAAATGTATAACAAATGGCATCATTTTCAACTTTAACGGATTGACTTTTTAAATGAATTTGCGGACAAAGGCTTTTTTCGAATGAATATCACTAGTTTTTTACACGTAATGACTCGAGCTAACTGTCCCAGCTGCCATTATCAATAGCGGGGCGTATGTACTACATAGTTTGAATAAACATCAAACAATTACTGGTGGACAACTCTTGAAAAGCAATGCAAGTTTTGAGTAAAAATATGAAAATGTTTAACCAAAAAATTGACATCGATAGGCCAAGCATTGAGACATAATTTTTGTGTGCAAAAAATTATTGGAAATAATTAAAAATTAATTTTACACCTGGAAAAAGCGATAACGTTCTCCAATTATCGCTCCTTCTTCGACAGTTTTCAGAATTATATTCGAATTTGCCATTGGCCGTCTTTCCTATTTGCATAGATGAGGATTTTTTATGAATGTTACTCCACATGTGGATATACATGTTACATTCGTCTGTCACATGTACATTTTCAACATTTCTGCCATCAACATTTCTGCCGCAGTAACATGGACAGGTAGACGGAACACTGTAAATGTTTCCATTGTCTTTTTTTTTTTTTTTTTTTGAAGTATCACCATTTTCAAAATTCTGTCATTTTTTATCATTTATTTGTCTATCGGGGAATTTTATTGCAAATTGGTCCAATTTCGGCCGCATTTCACAGGGAAAAATTGGTGAGATCATCACGTTTAAAATAATATTCAAAAATTGTTTGGTTCGGTTAATAGTGAAATTTACGATTGAATGTATCACTGTATCCCGTATTTTAGTTCCATTCCCATTGAAATGTGTCGTGATTGTTCTATATTCGGCGTACATGATTACAGTTTTCTATTGCTTCTATTGATTGAAAATATGAAACCTAACAATGAAATCAATCACCGATTTAGATAGAGATAATGAATTTGTAACCATTTTTGTACAACAATTTTATTAGATTTTTTTTTGTGCACTGAATGTCAAATTTATTCAAACAATTATTATTTAATTGACGTGAAACTATTTCCATGTAAATTGGAACTAAAAGTAAGGCACATACAGCAAGTTAAGGACAGCCTATATTCCTTGCAATAAATAATTTCGCTTCACATTGATATTACATGAACAATATTTTTATTAGTCAACTATTTCAATTTACATGGGAATGCATTATGCTTTATTCCGTCTTCATTGTTTACGAAATCTATTTTTCTCAAAGTTCACGATGTATTCTACCCTCTGGACAGTAAAGAGTTTGTACTTTTGTTACGATTACCTCATAATTGATATTGATTGAAATACTAATTTCATACGAACTTTACCTTCGAAGTTGAAATGTTTTGCAATAAGAT